CGCAACCTGGTCCGCGCTGCCGTTGTGCTCTGCAGCCCTGTACTCTGGACCTGTCGTCACTCCATTCACAGGAGCCTTCACTAGATTAACATCTTCATCACCCGCTTTGCCATCGTACAGGTAGACATGGTCTGGGGTCGAGTCAGGTTCCGTGATGGCTGCTTCCGGTCCACTTTCACCAGGCTCTTCAGCAGCATGAGCACCATGTCCATCGTCTTCTACCCCTACAGCGACGCCGATCCATTGACCATCTCCCGATGCCTGCTGGTGGCCGTGATCCGCGGGCTTGAGTGTGCCGTTCGGCAACAGACCTGAGATTAGCTTGCTGAAGACAGAGCCGCTGGCGTAGAACCGTGGAACGGCGTTCACCACCAGCAGCGTCGTGTTGCCGTTGGGCGTTAGCCAGGCCTGGTGCACTGAAAAAATACGATGGCTTTGGCTGTCGGCAGGTATATCTACGTGATTTAGAACCGTTCTGTGCTGGCGTGCACGCATATGCGCGGAAACTATATCGAGCTGGGGAGGGGCATGAATTTGTGGAAGGAACGTAACCTTTGTGGAAGGAACGTAACCCTTCATGGAAACGCAAGCTCTTACCGGATTTCCTCACTTTGTTTTGATATTGCTGGCGCGTTAATCCATTTGTTGATATTCTGTTTTTGGCCCACTTTTGTGCTCAAGAGCTCAAGCGTTGGGCCTCAAACGTTTCTCTGCTTAACGAATTTTTTTGTGCATTTTCTACAGCGCGCCTATGAAAATGCTTAATCAAAGAGATGTGCCGGATCAGCAAGAACGGGTTACACTCAGCGTAAGTGGGCAGTGCCGTGGACCGATAGAGTCGTCATCAACGTTATGGAATATGCCGCCAAACACATCTGAATCTGAATCTAGATGCGCATGTCTAAGCGGCTTGTTTTCCTTGTTGAAGCAATGCTATCTATCCATGGGATTGCCTTTTTCACATGATATCACTCGTGACTTCATCTCATACCTACCAACGGTATCATTCTCGGAAGTCAAATTGCTGCAGATCCGAGACACACACACACACACACACACACACACACACACACACATATATATATATATATATATATATATATATATACATATATATATATATACATATATATATATATACATATATATATATATATATACATAAACACATATATATATATATATATATACATATATAAGAACACTACTCACGTCGTCTCGCCTCTTTTATTGAGCGTCAGCGACTGCATTAGCCACATTAACGCTCAGGGACCAGGCGCAAAGGGGATTCGAAGCCAAGCTCCCCGCGTGGGAGGCCGACACACTAACCACTCGGCTTTTACGCCCCCGCAAGCATATAGAAGTTACTTAAGCTGTGTATAATATGAAATATGAAATTAGGCATATGAGACATAAAGTCAGCATAAAAGTCTAACTTAGATGAAACGTATTTTGTTTAACTGAAAAAATAAAATAATAAAGATGAAAATTTTGTTTCAATAATTGAAATCCATTTGTATTAGTTCAAGCAGAATTTATCTAATTTCAATCAGTCTAATCAAATCTAAGTATATTTGGTTCAGCTGTGATAAAATTAACTTGCTTTTAAAATCGTAGGCTCAAAATATAGCATACAATGTTACAAAATGGGTACACAGGATGACGAAAGTGGAGAGGGTAGACATGTCGGGCTGTCGTATTCGGACTGAAGGGTATGACACGTTGCACTCGTGCCTGTAACACACAATGAGCTTCGTATCTCGTTGGGGCTATTAAAGCGGCGGATGGTGAGCTTCAGGCAGACATACCTCGGGTAGAATTGAAATCATGGTTGATATGAAAGGTGCAATGCATTACAACAGACCTGCAGCACTCAATAATATGGAAACGTGGAAGTTAGCTGCACAAAGACACAAGTAATCAACGTAATGTCCACGTGTTCTGGGTGGAAGGTCTTAACGCGATGGTTGATTACGAGTCGGAAATGATAGCGTCATTGGTTGATGACATCAACATCCGGAGTCGTGCATTAAATACATGTAGCCCTTACACAAACTGCTTACTTAACCGACATTGGCATCAGATACTTGCAATCATTTTTGGAATCCGTAATGCGCACAAAATGCGCGCGATATCCTTCGCAACGGCCTGCCAAATGTCTCACCTGGATTGTGCCCCAGTGATTGAGCCAGGCACATCACAGCACAGATGAGTCGCGGCAGCTGGGCCATGCCTGTCGAGCACAGCGCGCCGGCGCTACCCATTGGCGAATAGGCTAGGCCACGGCCCCGCCGAAAAAAAACAGAACCCGGATTACCCCCTCTATACCCCAGGGCACGCCGACCGTTAAAACCCTGAGTGTGATTGGATGCTCCTACAAAACATAGTGTCCCTTCTGCCAAAGGCCATGCGGAGGGATGGGTCGGATCAGCGAGGACGGCTTACACTCAGCGAAAGTAGGCAGTGGCGCGGATCGGTAGAGCCGACATGAATATCATGGAAGATATCGCCAAAGACATCTGAATTGGGGCCGAAACGTGCTGTCTAGCTGCGCCTTGTTCGCCTTGTTGAAGTAATGACCATCTTTTTGTCGAATTGCCTACTGCACATCATTGGGGATCATGGCCGTTTCCCGGATGTGGTTTCGCTGAAGCGGCTACTGTTACTTCAACGCTAGAGAGTAACTACATTTAATAATAGTTTGTACCGTCGCATGATGTTTTGTACCGATACGGAACTTATTATGTGCTCCTTTTTGACAAGCTCCTTCGTTTCTGACTCGTGCCTTGGAGATCAGTCTCAAATATATTGGGCCACCACTTTCTAGCTTTTGCAGAAAAGAGCAGGATCTGACCTAAAATTGTGTTTCGGCGATTTGATACCATACGCATGAGTTCATTCAAAACACCAAACTGCGACGTGCGTAAAATTCGGAGATATGCCCCAGTATTCCATTTTTTTGTGGTTGTGGCTGCACGCATGAATTTCCAAACGAAAAAGCTTGGTGAAGAGTAAGTGTTTACCGTGCTTGTTTTGTTCAATTTTTTTTCAATTTTCACAACTTCAATTTTTGTTTCAACTTCCCGCAATCACGTGCAACACAACCGTTTGATTTATTTTTGTCGTCGCCAATGCGGTACATCGTCCAGCTAATGATCAGTTACGTCACACGCGGCGCCAATTTTACCCCCCCCTAACCTTGGCTCGCCACATCCCATATCCCTTCGCCATCGCCCTCTTCCATATTGTTCAGCATATCAACTTCAGGAGTAATGCATGCGTGGGAAAGTTGAACGGAGGATGGACTGGAGCGGTCTCAATGAGCACAGCTGGACGCAGGGACTCTGGTGTACGTCCAAATATGTTGCCAGCTAAATACACTCCCTATGGCAGCGGTTGATTTGGCTCAGAGCCATGCATTTGCTATACAGATTCTTTTTCATATTACCTGAACCAGAATCCCCAGAACGTGCAGCTCCAGTTCGTCGGATATTTTGCGCCCGGCTTCTTAGGCAGATAGAGAGCAGCGGCGGGATGTTTTTAGTCGTGATCACGCCACGACACGGTCACGCCGTGCAAGACAGAACCTGAGGATCATTTGTCAGCTGATGCTTCGATGCCGGTCGTGGTATACAAGGCGCACGTTATCAGATCCTCGCGCGCTACACTTCACTGGTCCGGCGATAAACACGGGTTTAAGGTCCAGGTCATGGTATAGTTGTAGATGATCATAAAATGACTTACTACCAATATTGTGCTTAATTGTTACTTGATATACAATAAGGGCCCATTCGAGCCACGCGAGAGAAACGCTATTCTCAGCTATTGGTGGCATGTATCTCATAAGTTTTACGCGGGTGAATATGTGAAGTTGCATTGATAAAAAGGAATATTCCAGGTTTGGAGATAGTGAATCTAGCAACCAATGTGATGTAAAAGTTCACTTATAACTGCTGGTATACTTTTCAGCGGATAAGACTGCGCTGGACAACACAATTTCTCTAGTTAGTGAATACACTCCTCGATACGTCATGGTTTAATTACGCCATCGTGCTTTGCATAACATTGATTGAGAGTCAGTTGACGGCCGTTGAAATCGTGCTCACGAATGCCATATATGAACGACTCGATAATATCTTTCTTGGCCTTGTTCGCCGCATCGACAATGGAATGACAAGGTCTAAATGACGTTAGTATGACGCCATGCATTCCAAGGCAACCCCGAAATACTCTTCCACAATTACTCTCCCACATCTTTGTGGCTTTTAAGCTCAGAAGCCAATGGGTGTTAGGTCTTGTAAAGGGCACGACCGTGAGCTGCATCGCGGGGTCTTCAATATGGCTGTTTCAGTTTAAAACCCCATACAAATGCGGAGCACTCCATTTCATCCTGCCTAGCTTGTCACCGGAGCACTCTATCATGCGTTCGCTCTGGTATGCCGGAATGCCGTCAGCCTCGGCTGTGGTGACTCTGCGTGTCCTGGCGAGCATCATATCAGTGGTCCTGATTGACCTGTCAGTGCCGGTGTCAAGCTCTCCGCGATACCCCACAGGTTTGTCTCAAATGAAACCGGATAGAGTTCCAGCCGGTGTAGCCGCTCTGTCCAGCTCCGGCTAAACCGGGCTCTATCACAGGAGACCAGGCCTGACCCGGCCCGGTCGCCGCTCTGTCCAGCTCCGGCTAAACCGGGCTCTATCACAGGGAGACCAGCTCTGACCGGCCTCCCTGTCGGATAGAGCTCCAGCCGGTCTAGCCGCTCTGTCCGGCTCCGGCTAAACCGGGCTCTATCCGACTGGGAGATCGGCTCTGACCGGCCTCCCTGTCGGATCGAGCTCCAGCCGGTCTAGCCGCTCTGCCCGGCTCCGGCTAAACCGGGCTCTTTCTGACTGGGAGATCGGCTCTGACCGGCCTCCCTGCCCCCCCCCCCCCCCCCCCTATAGCGAGTTGTGTGTCGCGTGTGGCGTGTCCGGGTCGTTACCATGGTGACGTCGCTCCTCAGGAGCCGCCGACCCTGGAAGACGAGGACGCCCAGAAGCCGATCGACCTGAGCTGGCCCGACACCACCCGCAAGCGCATAATCTACGTGCTGGTGGCGCCTATCGTATTCCTGCTCTGGATCACGCTTCCTGACTGCAAGTCGCCCAGGGGTAAGCCGGCGGCTGTGTTGCCGGTGCCCTTGGGGCGACGTGGGGCGCTTTCAGTCATGGAAAGTCCACAGAGATGAGTCACGGTGCTCAAGGGCATCGTTATGCAGTTCGGAGGATGATTAATGGCGCAGCGCCCGCGCTGATTTAACGGTTTTCGCTCCACGATGGAGACTTTTTTGCCGTTTGCCAGCGCATAAAACCACGGTAAGCATGCAAAAGGATTAATGGCGCAGCGCCCGCGCTGATTTAACGGTTTTCGCTCCACGCTGAAGACTTTTTTGCCGTTTGCCAGCGCATAAAACCACGGTAAGCATGCAAAGACACACACACACGTTTTTCACCACTTGCTGCATGGTAAACGCTTCGCATTCGCAGCCGTCTGAACGGTTTACTCTTCACATAACCACCCGCAGACGGTTTTTACCTTCTGTTACCTTTTCAGGACAGTCGGCTGGCTTGATTCACCATTATCCAGAAGGTAGCCTGGGAGGCTGACCATCCAATGGATGGTAAAACCTTTCGCGTGTACCATCGCCTCGAGAATTACTCTCTTCATCTCCCTCTAGGAACGAGAGATGTGACTGATGTTACCCTTTCAGTGAGGGTCAATCGCTTGCTTCACTTTTCACCCGCCAGTAGCCAACGCGGCCGACCACCTGGCAGGCTCACAGACGTTCTTTGGCCACCTACGGAGTGGTTAGGTCGTGCTACTTGTCATCACGCGCGACATGATATAAATAGTACGGACATAACATGTACCAGCGACGAACAGCGCTACGCCCATCATTGAGATAAGTTTTTTACCACATGTGGGCAGACCCCACACCAGCGAGCTTGTCTCAGACAGTCCAATGCGCCCACGATACCTCTAAAACTGAATAATGAACCCTCGATACATCAAAATGGGTTGCAAATTCTGAAAACACGAATAGAATAAACAGCCGTGCTTGGATTGCGAAAACGTGGGGGCCACTTGACTGAAATAGCTCTCATGCCTGGATTTGACTTCCTTCTGAGCAAAATCCTGGCAACGCCACTGGTGAGAGGCGAATGGCAAGCGTATATAAACACAGCTATGGGGACGACCCCTCCCAGCACCCAAGGCAGCATTGTCTTTTATCCTCGAAGGCCTGGCAGAGCTACAGCTTTGCCAGGCCTCATTCCAAGTTTAAATAATACGCGGCTTACGGTTCATCACCAACGAACACATAGGTACCGGTCCGGATGGCATGTCTCCGCATAACCAGCAGCGGAAGAAAGAACGGTCATCACCAACGAACACATAGGTACCAGTCCAGATGCCATGTCTCTGCATAACGAGCAGCGGAAGAAAGAACGGTTCATGACCAACGAACACACAGGTGCCGGTCCGGATGCCATGTCTCCGCAAAACGAGCAGCGGAAGAAAGAACGGTTCATCACCAACGAACACACAGGTGCCGGTCCGGATGCCATGTCACCGCATAACGAGCAGCGGAAGAAAGAACGGTTCATGACCGACAAACACACAGGTGCCGGTCCGGATGTCATGTCTCCGCATAACGAGCAGCGGAAGAAAGAACGGTTCATCACCAACGAACACATAGGTACCGGTCCGGATGCCATGCCTCCGCATAACCAGCAGCGGAAGAAAGAAGCGGAAGAATGACGCTGGTATTTCTGACGGCAGGCTTACGATGTGGGTTGTACTGCGGCTAAGAAGCGACGCGTTTAACCAGCACCGGTTCGTGATGGATCCACCGGGCGGGTCACATTGTGGAAACGTAAGCAACATTTCTCGTAGTTTTGAGTTTGTCCCCTTGTGGGCTACAATTTATGGCGACGGCCTAGATATGTGAAACAAGATGGATGCTCATGAAATACAGCTTTAAGCTGCAGCGGTGTCACAGGCCGTGACAAATGCGTCTGCTAGCGACGCGGCGGGCAGATGTTAAAGGACAAAACATAATTGCTTCGATGTCGAATATGGTCATAAGCTAGTCAAGTTGTTGTAGCAACGGGCAGGATCGATGGGATGAGTGCCTCTACTTTTGTTGTAGGTCTCAATATCTAACTGACTCAGGGCCCAGGCGTTGTGCGCCTGCACTCCTAGAGCACAATTCTTACAGCTTGCAGTGAGAGGCGCTGTTATTGCGGGTCGGTTTGCACGTCCTGGAAATGTAGGTCATTTCCCTCGAGCACAAATGTGCGGCATATGAACTGTACAGTGCCATGTTTGGATGCTGCTAAAAGAACCCCCATGACAATAGATTAAGAGTGCTAGTTATCATTGCGCATGACCTCCACAGCGCCTGTGTATCTCAGACACCCATTGGTGCCTCGGACACTCATGGGTGGTTCAGGTGCGGTTTGCAGGGCGTAAATCAAGCAAAATTTTATGAAATGAAATTACTAGAAGTGCCGCCCAAAGCAATGAGTCATTTCGGAACGGAACGGAATGGAACGGAACCACGGAACGGAAGTCTGGAAAGGCCAAGCCTATCACCCGTTGCAAATAGCCTTTGGTGACGCGGACAGAATGACATTTACCTCCGCTTTTCTGACCTATAAGGATTCTGCTTGACTGCACTCAAATCAATAACACATTTTCATTATGGTGTGTTGCTCTAACTTCTCATTTGAGCTGTTCCAAGCTAGTCGCAAAGAGGTTTACTGAACGCATGTTTATACTCTGGGTGGATACAATGAACCGCTAAGTTACCGGGATGTGTAGTTTCTAGACAGACATCTAGCCAGTACGTTTAAGAATATCTAAATAGACGTGACCGACAGATTTCCGGCAGGTGGCAGCCGGGTGAGCAAAGCCCTGAAATGTTGGCTCTACGCTTTAGGGTTGGCTTTGTCCTTTATGCAGGTGCCTAGTTACTCGAAGCGGAAAACACGTCTTATTTTGCAAAGACAACTCGGGATTTGCATTCAGCTTTAATCGGGTCATACACATGCAAAATTATGTCGCATGCGTACTTAATAATGGCTTCCTTGTTATCAGTCAGCTGCGACATCAGCTTGCCTGGTCGGCCTGAGCGTCTGACAATGCATCGCAAGCAAGTGGATTTGTTTTCAAACATCGCCATCGAATATGTGTAAATAACTATGTGACGCATGCTGCTGGACATAAGCAGCTTTGCTGACTGTGCTCGAGCAATCAAATGCGCCGTTGCATTTTTAATGGGATTCGTGACGTTAACCCAACGAAGCGAACGGACGTAGACCGAATGTGACGTCTAGTCTCAGTCGTCTCTGACGTGAGCTTCATGAGGAAAATGCCGAAACGCCCTCGCCCTAAATTGGCAACGTCACCATTCCATCGGACAGCCGGCTGCGACAGGCAATCTCGCATGCTGGAATTGACGTAGATTGCGTCGTCGACCCTCTGGCACAAACAGCAGTTACGATGTCGTGGCGTGCTGTGTTCAGCGGCAGATCTCGCCACATTGCCAGAAGCTCTTTCTGGAACTTAAGCAGCTGCGAGGGGGCGCCAAGTGGACGGTGAACCGTAGGTTTGCTGGCGTATCAGAGTAGACCACAGTCATTGCGCCGAGACCCAAGGGGTTGTCGACCCGTATGGCTCAGGCAATCTGATCTTCCTAGATTTCCCGTGGCATCACCAATGTATTTTGGATGCATTTGTGCCACCGCGATGCCATCGGTGGAGACTGCATGGGTCCAGCGCAAAATGGAACAAAATGGAATGGGACGATTTCGCTATTAAAGCTGACCATTCCAAGTATGAGAGTCCCATTCAAGATCGTATACCCAGATGTTATAGCCGCCAGCGGTTGAAATGCACATCATTCGCCGCATTCAAATTAGCCTGCTCCGTCAACAGTAGCAGGAGTGAACTACATTCAGATACGGCTTTTACCAGAACACGTTCTGTTCGCAGGGCGACGTTTTTTCTTCATCGCCTTCCTCGGGAGCATAATCTGGATCGCCATCTTCTCCTACATGATGGTGTGGTGGGCCATTACAGTCGCTGACGTCATGGAAATTCCTCCCGAGGTGAGTCGTGCACGACGTCAGCCACAGCGCCGGCCGACTGTGTTCATGGGGAGCATGACACTTCTTACGGGTGTTGTCATCATTGGTGGCATATGACGACATTGAAATAAAGAAATAAAGAACACCTACACCCTTGTCCATTTCAGGGCCATTTGCTCATCTGATCAACTTCAACATGATGCAACTGATTGTTTCTGGGAGCTTTAAGCCAGCAATTGCATTGCCCATGTTTACAAGTGGTAACAGGCTCTTCCGTAAAACAGCTATCTTTATCATTTTCATCGAATGCATTCGATATATTTGGGAACGGCATATATCAACCAATGTATCAATGCTTAGAAGCTGAAAACTTCGCTCTCGCCGCTTGATTCGTATTTTGTCAAGAACACTGAGGTAAACAATAAAAAAGGCCACGCTAAAGCAGTTTTCTTGCTGGGGATATTATGTTTATGTGAGGTTGTTTACTCAACGTCTCCAGTTTGGATCCCGGACTGAGTGGCCGCTTTGTAGTGTGGCTCTACTATGACCCGAAATGACCTTTGAATCTGAATGACCCGAAAAGCATTTTACTCAGCTTAAAAATACTTTCCTTCGCGGATTATGCACATCTTTAAATAGCATGAATTTCGATAACTGGCCAGTAATTGTGATAGTTTGACGTGGATTATGACAAGTCGATGTGAGCTATTGTAACTTTATAGTTATTACGATTATGGCCCGTTCATCCATCCGGCATTTCATCCATCATGCCTGCTTGTTTGACAAGCTATTTCATCAGTCCCGTCAAATAAACTGGACATTCTTGTGCACATATGGGTCCTGGTGGGCAGCAGTTCGGAACAGGTGTCATTCGAACGGCTCGGCCGGCACCTCCGCTGCCATGACGACCAGCTTACTCAATTCATGGATGGCTGGGTGCTGGCATATAACTCTAATCTTACCAGGGTCGGCTCATTCCCGAGTCGTGTTTGCAACTTACATCAACGTTCTAACTAACTTGCGATTGATTTCAAAATATAAAGAAACACATGGACCGGTCTGAGTAGGCTGTCAATTGTGACCAGCCCTGGTTTCTTTAAATTATCTCTCCCATTCGTGCCTGTTTCCTTAAAATGACATTAGCAAGGATGCCACCGAGCACCAAATACACCAAATGACTACCTCCCCGTTTGATTTCCTGTGCTATGCACTGGAATAGCTATCTTCCAATTTCTTAGCCGCGAGTGACGTGGCGTCTAAATATTTATTTGATTATGATTGAGGTCGTTCGTCGAACTGGTCTTAACAGTCAACCAACCGGAGGCACTGTATTTCCAGCCACTCGACCCGGCGCGACCCGTCACGATCTGGGTTGGGCCCGCTCCTGGCTGAGTGTGAGGCATTTGTAACCACTCACCGATACCACCAGAAGGGTTCCAGCTACCAGTGACAACATTTCTTAGAGGCTGTGCTGTGATATTCTCAAAGCAATTAAATGCGGTCTGTTATGTCTAGCGCCGTATTTCTGCAGCGTTGCAACATCTCCGTCCAGCGTAACAGACCTTTCCAAGCATGTTAAGCTTTCAGTTTGGTCGCATAGTGACGCGAGCGCGCCCAAAGTAACGCAAGCGCGCCCGCGCGTGCCTTTATATTATTTGGCTTCAATATCGGGGTATATGTGTCAGTCTGTGCTCATTTTGCGTTACGCTGTGCTCTGCCGGGCAGCGGGTCTCTGAGGGGGACGTGTCGGGCAGTGGGTCTCTGAGGGGGACGTGTCGGGCGGCGGGTCTCTGAGGGGGACGTGTCGGGCGGCGGGTCTCTGAGGGTGACATTTTGACGCGATACACTTGCGCACGTGGCGGTTTGCGGTACTATGTTTCGTGCTGTTGCGGTGGACGGGCAGCGTGCGAGACATGTTACTAGGTATGTTTCTAGCCTGTTGGTTTTGCGTGGGCAGGGTAAAAATGCAACCCACGCGAAGCGGGCGAACAGCCGTTAAAATTTTTCCCAAATTTTATCACCCAGGGGCCGAAACTTCCAGAGGTTTGTTAGTTTTAAACTTTTTTTACGTATCATGCTATATTCTGGCAACTAAAGTAGGTGGATGTGTGAATCCAGTTTTAAAGCATCAACCAATGTATCGTCTCCAATTCGTGTGGTCGGCGTGCCTTTGCAATACACAATAATGCCTACAAGAATTCGCCGAGCCAGCCGGGAAGGTCGACATTAAACAAATAAAAACGCTGCGAAATGCCACATGCTCCCGTCCAAACTGTTCCTAAGGTCGCGGCAAACTTTACTTCGACGAATACGGAGATTGGTTTCGTCTTTTGCCGTCTTTTACTTGCTGTAGTGTACTCCGTTCCGCTCACAACTTAGCTTCCGGTAAAGAGTTCTCATTTCACATTCTCACGAAGCCAAATTACCACCGATCGATGGCTTCATCGTCACCGTTCAACATTTGAAATAAAACGGTCACACGCACGCGCGATTTGTGTAAGCCGCCGGCCGACAGAAGTTTATTCGACGCTCACTCATTCAATCCTCGCGGCGAAATGGAAGACTTTTTACAAACAAGACTCCACCATATTGGATGTCTTAAATTCATTATGCCTTACATTCTTATATTTTATGCAAGATAAAAGAAAATATTGTAGAACTGTCCAAAATGGCAAAGTAAATGACGATACCAGTTGTAATTAACATTTGAGACCTACCGAGATACATCAACAAGGATAACTGGAGCTGAGTTGTAGCTGTCCAGTCATGCAACTCTCAAATCGACAAGTTTAGAGGCAATCGATCTCCAATAAAATTGTCGCCTACAGACGAAGATTGCAGCATGCGGTCTGCCTTGTACCAGGAGGCGCTGACGAACATCGGAGATAGCTGTAAACAAATTTGCATTGAAAGACCTTGACGATACCATCACGAAGAGTTAATCCTGATGCAACATGAAGGATCAAATCCGCATCGGAGAGTTTAGAACAATATGAAGGGCTTACTCCCTTCCCAAGCATCCAAAAAAGGACCACCGAAGGAAGGCATCATAATTATTAATGATTAAGCCAGGATTACAGCCAGCGTGCTTTAATGAACATGTAACACCCCTATATGGACACGTAACACTCCAAAATGGACATGCAATGTATACCCATCGCCAAATATACACCCCGTCAACTCAGATTCACATCTGCTCTAAAATGTGACCCGCAACATGGGACCCACGCGAAGCGGGTTGGACGAGGAATTGTTTGGTGTCATACGTGCGACGTATTACTCTCACCAGTGGCCAATAGATATGCCCGCCTTCGACATTATTCCATGTTGCATGCTATATCTCGCCAGCCATAGCAAGTGAATATGAATCCAGCCTCAAAACGTCAACCGATGTACCGTCTGAAATTCGTAGCGCCAGCGCAACTTTGTTCGGCACAACCTTGCGGCAGGAATCGCTGGGCAAGCTGCTGGATGTCGGTGCTTTCAAAAGCCTTGCCGAGTGCGACACGTTGCCGCCAAATCCGTCGCTAGGTTGGTGGCAAAACTTACATTGGGGTGTAGGCAGGCTCGTTTTCTCCTTTTCGCTTTTTTAAGTACCGTGGTTTGCCTCATCCCGCTCATTATTAAGTTTCAGCTGAGGAGTTGCCTTTTTCAACATTTGATTTGCGAAGTCAAAGCGCCGTCGGTCGGACCCGCTGTCCAGTAACGGCGAAAAGAAATACAGCGAGACGCGCAGACGCTCGGTCGGAGCTGCCGGCCGACAGGAGTTTATGCAGCCTCTGCTTAGAAGCTCCTCATGGCTAAAATGGCGTGTCTACCGTGAAATTGTACTAGCAGTGGTCATGTAAGCGTCTTTGCGATCTATGGAGAAACTTCAACAAAGGCATGCGTGCCAAAATATGGATTTCAAACGAGTAAAACCTCAGTCAGCAGTTTAGTAGGAACCAATCTCCACTAATAATGTAAACTTTAATTGTGGTCGTAACGTTCGACGTGCATTGTACAAGGAAGTGCTGATTGACACCAAAGACATGCAAAACTCATCGACTTAGTCCCCACGGAACACTGCGGTCTCAAAGTGGCTATGGGGAGCTCAAAACAACATTGCGGTTTCCCCCAAACAAATCAAACGAAAATTACCAATGAAGAGAAGCATTTGCAAGTCAGACATGTCGCCAAAGTACTGCGATGGACATGTAAACCTCCAATTTGCACTTCATGACCTCCCACTCGCACCTGCTTTGGCGTCTGTGCCTGGGACCCATGGCAAATGAATGGCTGTGCGAAAACGATAAACTGTCAACAATGAGCTATGGGGCTCCGTGAATAGCGCCGCAGGAGGCGACCACCTGCGCCATTGACGATAGTGGACGCCGACATGGCCGCGCGTCATTCATTTGTGATGGCAGGTGGGCGCCGATGTTGGTCGGTGACAACCCCTCAAGATGTTATCGCGTGACGTCGGAGTGGCGGCGCCGCCAGCGCGAGGGGCGCAGGACGCCCGGCCCGGTGTGCCGGCCGGACGGCTGGGGTCCTCGCCGCTGCGGCGTGGAAATACAGACCGCTGCTGCGTCATCAGTCCCGTCTCTATGTATATCCCAGCTTACGGACCCATCGGTCGTATTCAACGGGAGCTTAAGCGTTATGGTGAAGAGTCCTATTCAACGTAAACCCATGCGTTGTGGTGGTAAGAAAACGTTGTGGAACTGTTTATACTGTGGACAATGTTTGCCTCAATGAAGTTTGTATATTAACCGGCACATAAGAACCACAGGAGAATAGTGAGCATCAAGCTATTGATTGCTGTGGTGAAATTTTCCGGTCAGCGTTTGCTCTGGATGGGTGATTGCTCGGAGCACAGATGCGTATTCTGGTTTTCGGAATTACGTACGTCGAAATGATCACAGCTCTTCTGTCACAGCCAAAACTTCGTTTACCTTCGCCAGTGTGGTCGTAACGCGGTCCTCCAATCAAATGTAGTTGGAAAATTGTCACGGGAAAGGGCAAAGGAGAAACAGCAA